AATTAATAAACTACTGACTATACAGCGAATGATAGCGATATGATACTGAAGGTCGTTTGCAAATATACGGTCAAAAGGAGCAAGTTATCCTGAGAGAGAGTTTATATAATCGAAGAGTGTGGTGAGCCTTTTACTAATAACTTCCCGATATTGAAAATCGTAAAGACACACTTTGCAACACGCAGGTAACGACACGGCTTCAAATTTGTTGTGCATATGCAATGAGTTCTGCTGAAGGGCTACAGTAGATAAAATTTAGGTGGGCTGATATCGAATAATGACCATTATAGACTTCTATTTGCAGTTCCGTCCGCTAAACATATTTAATTAGAGGGCTGAGATCAACGCGAAGTGGGGGGGGGGGGCAAGCGTTAGACCTAAGGCATACCACGCGCAATTCCGGTAGCTGCGCGATTTAGCACAACAGCGACTCTCCGTTAATCGTCGTTGATGTCTTTGGTAAGAACTTGACCCGTTTGAAACAACTTAGACAAGCTCCCAAACATGCGTTCGAAAAGAACGCACGACAAATCTGTAGAGATTTGGCAAGTTGCCAAGTCGCCTAAAAGTGGCGATTCGGCCGAATCGCGTGAGGTATGCTTTAGGGCTGAGGCGGCAATACGTGCAAATCGCAAGCAATGTAAATTTTTTCAATGCTGTCGAGTAATGTATCGGCCCCGACCCCCACCTCCTGTTTTTGGCGCGGAGACGTCACGGGGAGTTTCTAGGGTCCAGAAAATTAGGTTGTCGCGTAACGCCCTATACCCCGCGAAACCGAGGTGCACAGTATGGCATGCCTATCACAGTACTAGTGCACAATTGGTTTTTTTAAGTATGCTATTGCAGATTGGCATGCATTGACGTAGACAAGATAATAAAGGATACAGACTGGATAAAACATTATTTCTGAAAAGGCCAAACAAAATTGAACAAACGCAAGCACAACTAACAACTTATTTGGATGAGGATGTGCCAAACTTACAGTAAAATGCTATCTTAATCTTACCATAATCTTACCATAATCTCATCCCTTAAAGATCTGTACTGTAGTTTCCAGCCCTTACACATAATAAAACATTTTTCTTCCTTCTTGCCTTATCGTTAAGCTTATACGGGATGCAATAATTTTTACCAGTGACGGAGAGAGATTCGAGGGGGATACGGATACCGGCGACGGAAATTTTTTTGAATGATGAACGAAGAACGGTAAATTCGGCCAATCGAAAAAAAAAATTTTTGGAGCTTTACTAGTTTTCGCGGGTTTGTGACCCCGAAGTTTCCAGAAAAGTGGGCATGGTCGCAGAAGCTGCAAAAAAAGTTCCTTTGCGAAGCTATTTTGATTTTTAGAGCTTTACATGTTTACTAAAGTAAAGAAAAGAGTAAAGAATTTCCTTTCACAATTTTGTAACTCATATTAATTATTTTTAAAGATTTCGCCTGTTCTCAGGGAGGGGGGAAGGAGAGAAGGTAAGAGAGATAGATCGTAGATTGTGGCCGAGCTCTTTTGGCGCAATGTAAAAATCTATCTGTTGGATGGACAGCTTTGTATAGTGTGGACCCCGGCCAGGTTCCCACAGGTACTTCCGTGGCGCGCACGCAGCGCGCGCCCTTCTTAATGCTTCTCGCCTCACTCATGAGCAGTAGAGCACATTTATGCTCACAAAGAAGAAAAATGTAAAGTGGAAACCTCTAGGCACACTTCGAAAGAGACGTATGCAAGAACGAAACGCAGGCAAATTCCATAAGTACCTCGAATTCAATCAATGGATGCATATTCCGAACTTGCACTGATGGATAGGTTGTAATAAGCACACGTAGAGAAGTTAAAGAACAACAGCACTCTTAAAATATTTCTTTTCGTAGACTTAGAAACTAGAGTAGTCAAAATTCCAAAAAAAGTGGACGTTTTCGTAAACAAATACCTGTTGCTTTGGCTATTGGCTTCTTGGAAGGCTCAATTTTGACTTGAGAGACTGTCTACACCTCACACATCAAACCGAAAGGGACTCTTATATTATACAAGAAGCTTTTGACGGAATATTATCTTAAAATCCAATCAAATCTCAATTTTTCTGGGAAAAAAAGGGAAAACGCAAGACTACTACACAAGACTGAAGCTTTTAGAACTATTAGAGCACGTGAAGCTCGTCAGCGGTCATCGCGAATTGTCTATACCTGAAATAGAGAGAATATAGTACACCAAAAAAGAGAAAAGAGGATTTCCATCAGAAGCTAGGACGGGAGACGCACTGAAGGCGTGCGTTGCGGGTGCGTCGCGCAGGTACCTATGGGAAGCTGGCCGGGGTCCACACTATAACAGCTTTAGTGGCGGGAAGATAAAGTAATCTGACCTCTTATCAAAGTATAAATAGTGGCGGACGCGAGGGAGCAGTCAGAGCTTGGAAATTAAACGAGCTAACTAAGAGGGGCGGATTCTTTAGATTCACTGAACTCTCTGGGAAACGAGTCGAAGCCCCTTTGTTCTGAAGCAAATCATGTTCTCAAATTTGAACGAGTTGTTGTTACTACCGGATTCTTGCCAATTGAAAAAAGGTCTCGTAGTCAAACCCGTCTTTCCCCTTGAACAGCATGAATCTGGCATACCATGGATCATGAATTGCTACATGATAATTTTCTTGAGAGCTTTTGTACGCCGGGTTTCATCGCGGATATGTACAGGGTGTCCCAAAAGTCCTTAAGCCTAACTTTTCAACGTAGTAACTTTGTTAGTATTCCTCGCTTTTCAGCCAAATTTTGCCTTTGAGTTCTTCGTCTAGTTGCCAATATTCTTCAAGAAAATCATACCGTTTGCATTGTACATTCTCGAGATATACTTCTTGAAGCAAACAATGCTACAATCGTGAAGACGAGCCGAAGGAAACGTACCTCCTATTCAAATATTTACAGCTCTTTTGGCTTTGGAGCTCTTGTGCACTTTCAAACTGCATATTGTAGAGCTCTGTTCACTCTACATTTACAGTGCAAAACCAATCAATAGTCTTCGTTCATTAGAGTAGAATTACGATACAAACACTGTAGTTGTGCCGTGCCAATGAGAAAAAAAAGTTCCCGGAAACAAAAACCTGGAAGAGCTGGAAAGTCGAGCACCGAATCAGCTTCAGTCACTAATTCTAAATGTAAGCTGTGCATTTCCTACTGAAATACCGTTTTAAAGTCACTCCCGGTACACCATAATGGTGTTTTTCTTGGTGTTCCCAAACACTTGAATGCTACATTTTGACACTTTTGTCAAATCTCACAGATATGCTTCTCAGGTTTACGTGCCTTCAATAGCCGGGTCAAGAGGCCCTTGACTTTTCTTTGTGATCAGTAATGGAAAACAAGGTTTGCTCTATTCCATGCTAAATTTTGGACAGTCTGGATTGCTTGCTTCAGAAGGTGTGAGACAGTCTCGATGTCAACTACCTGGCTGCCATAGTGCATGCATTCCGCAAGCGTCTGAGAGCCTGTGTAAAGGCCAGAGGAGGGTTTTTCGAAATCTGAGTGTATCATGTTATTTCGTAGGCTCTTCGCAAATTCCCTGCTGAATTTCATGCGTCTATGTTGCTTCATGCATTTTCAGCGGAGGAAATACTAGGCTCAACGACTTTTGGGACACCCTGTAGAGTATGTTACATCTTTTTTATCTCATTGAGCGGAAGCTCTCAAGAAACGTAAGTGCACAAGTAACGAGGCCATTAATATGTTTATGAAAATAGAGAAGTGCGATAGGGTAAAATTTCAAAAGAAAAAAGTGAGCCTCTCGAGAGAAACAGTAGATGCTATCTTTGCATATATTATTCAAATTGCAGGCGAATGTGAAGTTTCGCTGACGCTGAGTGGTGTAGTTTGAGTTGTGGTAAGTTTGCTTGCGAAACCACAATTAAAAACCTGTTGATTTCCACATATAAATGTAACATCACAAAAAACACCAAGAAAGTTTTTCAGAATGATCTTAATGGCGAATCACGTGCAAACTGCAACGCTGACTCACTATGCTAGCGAAGTGTCGTGGCTGACGTCTCTAGCAATCTTAAGGTATCTATTTAAACTCCTTCACTAATGTGTCATCACGCAATTGTTGTTTACAAGGCTGTTATAAGCTGATCGATTAACAGTCGCTGACGTTTTCTTCTTATAAATTTACTGCGATACTTTCCCAGTATATTTTCATTTTGGACCTCATCCACTCTTCCACGTGCCGAGCTTATGAACTACTGGAAAATCGCAAAGTACGCATGCAAAAGTACGAATAGAGCTATTTGTCTTCTCTTACCAATTGTATTAGGTTGGCTAATATGTAAGTTCGTGTTGACGTGCAACTTCGAAGCTCTATATTAGGTTAACTAGCAGCTAGTTGGCTGAGGTTTCTTTTTGAAAGTAGCTTCAAGCCTCTATACCTACTTATTAGATACCTAGAGTTATGCGTCATCGTCATCGGTAAACGACAATTTATGCCCACACGTGACTAGCTTTATAGAAAACTTCTGACTCAGTAAATTTAGTTCTTAGCTTCCAGTGAATGCAAACGAGACTATTGACTATTCCTCTGCAGCATTTCGCCATCAACAAAAAGGAATGAACGGAGTTGAACATCCGATTTTCCCTGATTTGCTCCTTTCAGTGATAGCATACTCATAAACAAATCATTTGTAACATTTCTATAAAAAAATTAAACGCGACCGAAATTTTTATTAGCCAATCGAGTATTACCATCGTTACTAGAAAAAAAAGCATTAAGAGTTTATTGAATAATTTGGCGAACAAGTCACGTGCACACTACACTTCACTGACTCACTCTATGCTAACGAAATGCGCAAACGCCTTTGGTAGTCTTGGCCTATCTACACTTTGATTCAATGGAATTGGCAACTGGACGGGGCTTCGAGGCCTAATCAAGGCTAGGGTATGATCAAAGAGTACCTCATGAAAGAGAGACGCAGACTGTGTCGCGGATGCGAGCGATCGCTCCAGCCGCCATTTCCCTTGAAACAAAGGGTATTTGATCTCACCCATTTCGAAGTCGTCATGCATTTGCTGCGTATTCCAAGATGATTAGCTAATCGGTTGGCATAAACTTTAGCACAGATTTATTTTCTACCACAAATCCTTTTGACACTCTTTTGAATATTTTCGTCTTGGGCCACTCTCCGTTTCAAGTGCAATGTCAATGAATGGTCATCTCACCGGCAGTGTATTGAAATTACTGCTTTGCGATCCAGAAGTTGACGTACCTTTCATTTTAATTTAGTCAAAAGTCCATTTCAAACTGTAGCAAGCAAGCCACTTCAAAGATACCAACATGGATATAAAAGAAGCAATGCGTGATTTGTTTATTATTGATTTATTCACCAAATATGGAAATAATCAGCAGAAGGGCAATTTCTGTGCAGACGGAGTCCTGTGGTTTGAAATCCTGAAGAGGTGCGACAATAACTCTTTGCTGCGAGCTGAGTTGGTAAGGTTTATTGACTTCTCCCGTAGAGTAATGCTTCTTGAGTTCTTTTCAAAATGTGACTGAGCATTGATAAGACGCTCGACCAGATTTTTTTGCGTCTTCAACTTTCTGCCTCTTTTGATACTGAACGTCTTTTTTTCATCTTTCGTGATCTTTCTAACTCTTTGAGCTTGATCAGAATCTTGACTCAAAAAAAATTCGAACTTGGTGACTTCAATGTTTTGAATAGCCCTAAGCCAGGCAAGCATGAGTTTTCCGTTCTCTAATCACTTGAACGAGCAATACTTGCAATTAGGCAAAAGACTACTTAAGTAAGCATGAAGTTTTCAACTCTCTATCTGTGCATCAAAAAATAATGTACTTGTTATCAGCAAGCAGGAAGCGATTATCAAAGAGTGATGCCCTTGTTTGAGTCATTCTTTCAGACTTGTCAGCTCTTCCATCGGATTCTGAGCAGTTCTCAGTTTTGGATTGAGAAATGTGAATATGACGGTGTTGCATTACCGTCAATACAGTGGAGAAAATACCTTTATGAAAAGGAATATAGTAAATCATCTGATCCATATAGCAATGGAATACCGTTACCACATGTGTTTGATTATAAAAGAATCTGCATTGGTCGACCATTTGGTCGCAACATCGCTGTTACTTTGGGCAGCCATTGTACGCTGGATAGTTTGAAACAAAAAGGAATGAGATTCAAAAGCGGCGGCAATGGGTAAGTTCCGTTTGCAGTACTTCAAGCATGTGTTCAGTTTATTTCCTTTTAATTTCAGGAACCATCCTTATCTTATTTTTCAGAATCATAATAGAGCGACCCCCAGAAGGCATTGACTCAGATGAGATCTCCATCTGTTTTACAACCAGTTATGGATGGTGCAGCCGGTATTTTGAGATTGATTTGAACAAAGCAGGTGTACAGGCAAGTAAACAAATATTATACAAATTATCTTTACTAACTCATTTCTTCAAGATTGTCGTATTTTATCCATTTAAGCGAGAAGACAACAAACACTGTGCAATTATACACAGTAGTCAGAAACTATTATATTTTCTATAGGTATGAATATTCTGTTGACACAAGAATATCATTCGAATATTATGTCGTTCCATGAGTTCGTGGCGTTTTTATAAATCAACAAAATCATCAATTTACAGTAGAAATCAATCAAAATTATGTTCCTCGTTGTAGCGCACGACCTTTTGGCACATTTTTGTTAGCTTGTCGACCTCATTTTCCAAAAAGGAGCGCGCCGGGTCTCAAGAAAGTCATCTATCCAGCGTTAAAACTACTTACTGAAATAGAGACATGCACCATTCATGAGGCTTGCCAGAGAGCGGAGCGAAAGAAAATCTGATAGAGCGAGATTTGGAGAGTACTCAGGGCACTAAAGTACCTTCCAGTCAAATCGTGCAGGACAGTTTTGACGACGTTTGCCGCATGAGGCCATGTTTCGTCATGCAGAAAAACTCACTGTGTGTGTTAGGCTTTTTCTGCGGTAGGGCCTAGTTTAGAGGAATGCAGTAGGATTGCTTACGGTATAGTCGACCATGGCCTACCTGTACAGCAATTTTCAGTGCAAGACGTCCTGTCACTCCCCCGAAAAGTCTTGTTCAGGGACACCCTGCTCAACCCCTTAGCTTTTGCAGCAGTTTAATTCTTTTTCTGTCTCATATTGATATGCGAGCGCTATGCTCCATAATCGTTATTAAAATCCGTGCAGAAGCGTTTTTTTTTTTCATGAGGAAAGTGCGCAAACGCCGAATTTGCTCCTTTTGCCTTTCGAGGTCTCCATCTTTGGAAGCTACGAGATCCGAGTGAATCAGCTTTTCACCGGAATCAGTAGACAAATTTTAAAGAGCGCAATCGGCCCATAAAATTAATATACACACCCTGCCGCAAATCAACCGCTCCTCAAAGATATGAGGACGAAAATGAAAACGCTACGAACTTATGGAACGACCGAATAGATTAAGTAACTACCGATAGGCATTGTTCTGATATTACCACACCTCTCTCAAAAAGCTTGCAATCTTTCCAAAATCAAAACTTAACTTCGAAGTTTTGAGTTGCACTTCGAATTTCTGAGTTCCTGAGTATGACGCCATAACTCATTTTGATTGAAATTCATTTCGATCATTGAAAATTATGTATTTGCAATTTGCGTTGATGATTGTCAGCAATTTTCAAAAAATTTTATTTATGCGAAAGAATATCTGATTGGGAGACGGCCCTTCTGTACCGCCAGCCTTAGCTGCCTATACTGCGCGCCTCTGATTGGTCGGCGCTGCCGTGAGAGAGCTAGACTGTCGCTGGAGACGCAGGCGCTCTCAAATTAGACGATTTAGGTAGGAGTACTTTTTTAAAGAGAAGAGTCAAAGAAGAACTTGAGTTCCAACATGAGGATCAGATTTAGCACGTGGGTGGCTTACATAGATTTTCAGTTTACATATGCAAATTTTGCGGTGGTTTGGAGAGCTGTGAAGAGGACTCTTTCCCGATTTTTGTCTTCTTATAAAATATCGACCTTATCGACCGAAAATGTGCACTCGCTTGCCTTGAAATACTCCGAAATATTTAAAAACTCTGTTAGATTAATTTATTCTTTTACATTTATTTCATACATGAATAAATAAATAAATAATTGTAAATAGATTATAAGAAAGGCAAAGTGATTACCGCCGCTCTGGGGCAGGGTAATTAGCGCTAGGGCAGAACGGTTCAGAAGGGCATACACCCTATCTGATTGAGCAAATGAAGTCTTAAAGGCAATGGCTCGTGAAAATTACACTTGCAAGCTTTTCATCCCTCCTCGGCCTTCTTGATACGCTGAGTTCATGGCTGTGCTTGAAAAGTCGAAAAAGTGCTTTTCATGGTGTTTTCCGGTATTGGAGATTGCTGGAGGGGATGGGCGAGCGATTGCCAACTGAGTCGCGCCGCCAATAGCCGATAGCTCAGCTGGCCGCCAAAACGAGTGCGGTTACAGCATCCTGCACCCATTCTTTTTTTGGCGGGAATCCCTCGTCCAGCCCCCTCAGCAATCTCCAAGGCCGGAAAACGCCGAAAAGAACTTTTTAACTTTTCAAGTACAGTCACGGATCAGTGGATCCAGAGGACCATAGAGTGCGCAAGCTCACACTCACAATTCTCCCGAGCCACTGCTTTTGAGGAGATCAATATGAGAAAAAGCTCAAAATCACCACTTTCCTCTTAATGATGCGATTATGAATGAAAAAGGTGATTGAAAAGGTACTTTCTTGATCAGCATCTCGGAGACTTTGGTGCTATATAATTGATTCTTGTAACCTTCTCCAGTAATTGAGTGTGGCCCAAAAAATTTTGTGCAACATATTAATCCCCTTACGTCTTGTTGCCATTTCACTTTTGTGAATGGCGGATTTAAGAGTAGTGCGTAAGCCTTATTCATCAGTAATCGGGAATTTCTTAGAATTTGTAAGACACCAACTTCCGAAGTTCTCCTACGCAGTGTGGGAGGAGTTTAGTATCATTATTTTAGCTTATACAGGGTGTTCCAACAATAAGTATACACACTTTTTTATCGCTAATAAATGTCTTCCCACTAACTCTTCCCACTAGGAAGGTACTTTCAATGGCCGTGGCCTTTTGATATGAGATGCACATCGTCTGAAGCAGCTTCGAACGTTGATTCTAAATCTACTTTCCGTTTCTGCGGAACGCCCTTCTGAAGAGAGTTATGGAAGCCTGAAAATCCTATTTTGGGATGATCCTTAAGTTTGGGAGCGCTGCTAGTACGTTGATGGTGCAGTGTTGTAATCGGTAGTTGTTGGCATTGAGGGCGAAAGGCCGATGGTTCGAATTCAGTGCAGAGCGTAACATTTTGCATATGAATGTGATTTCAAAAACCACTCTAATTCGTCTGTAGACACTGTAATGCCCTTGGCAAGTGTGACTCAGGGAAAGATTTTCTGGCAGCACCGCTGCCAGAAAAAGCAGCGGCAGCTTGTTGAGATTTGGTTTTCTCCGCAAAAAAATCATGTACAGAACTGAAGCGAAATTACAGAGTAAGCAAGGCATAGACATTTCTCACAATGGGAACAGCGTATGAAGAAAGCCTCCGCGCAATCATGCTCAATCCATTGAGTTACTAGGGAAACAATATTGGAGTGGCGTTTCGCATGAATTCAGAAACTTTCGAATGAATTCAAACGAACCATCAACCTTTCGCCTTTAAGGCCAACAACTTACCATTACACCACTGCACCACCAACGCATTAGCAGCGCTCTCGGACTCAAAGAGCGCCCCAAAACAGGATAATCAGGCTTCCATTGTTCTCTTCAGAAGAGCGTTCCGCAGAAAAGGAAAGTAGATTTAAAATCAGCGTTCGAAGCTGCTTAAAATGATACGCATCTCATATCAAAAGGCCTCGGCCATTGAAAGTACTTTCCTTGTAAGTCTTTTCCCTAGCTTATAGCACCAACTTAGATTTATAGTGTGAAGCAAATCACTTAACTTTCTTCTTTACTGTGGGTTACGGTGGGAACTTCGAAAAGGGTTTTGAGCGATTAGTGGCTACACTTCCCAGAATAGATGATCAACGAGCCGAAAACCCTATCAACAGGCTAAACTGAGTCGTGAATATTAATAAGAAATTCGCTCTTTGCCTTAAAGGCAGTGTCCCACCAGACTGGGGGTATCTGGCTCTCGTAATGATGTAATAGTAGACCCCCTACCTAAGCGATGACTGAAGTTCGGAGCGAAAAAGGGGTCTACAAAGCCTGAAATTTGCTCCAAAAGTAGGCCGAACCTTACGGTAGGATCGGGCGAGTGCAAGGTGCAGGCAAGGTAGAGACGCAGAGTGGTTGCGGGTTCCTGCGCTCATGATGTGTGCGCTATACGCACTCTGGCCCTGCAAATCGATATTGCCGTGGGCGGCGTTCGGCCCTACCGTAAGATTCGGCCCACTTTCGGAGCAAATTTCAGGCTTGGTAGACCCCCTTTTTCGCTCCGAACTTCAGTCATCGCTTAGGTAGGGGGTCTACTATTACATCATTACGAGAGCCAGGTACCCCCGGTTGGTGGGACGCTGCCTTTAAGGCTTTTTCATAAGTTATGGCGAGTAGCAACAAAGTTTTTTCGGTGTTATTCGACAATGGGGTTAAATAACTTAGGACGCCTAAGAAACTCGTAAAAAGTTGTCTAGTGGAATCAGCATGTTCGAAAACGCTACTACACAACTTTCCAGATTCTTCTAGAATTTTTTCTTAACGGCCTATTTCACACAGGCGCTGTATGATGGAAGTTCCTACCGTGGTCCTACAGTAACGAAAAGCGATGGGTGATTCGCTCCATACTGTAAATCTACGTTAAATTCTGCTCTACTGAACGGTTAACGAAGTTAAGCAGAAGACTTTGTGGAAAGAAAGCAATCAACGATTAAAAAGCGTGCACTTACTTTCGGGACACCGTGTAATTTTGATTTTATTGTAAAAACAAAGAGTGATTCCCAAACAAAATATGCGACATAGATTCCTTGAGTAAGAAGCACTTTGCTTTGCAAAACTGTGCAAAACATTAGAGTACGCTCACGTGTGCGATTGGAGATGCATTTCAAATACGTAGTTCATCTTAATCGAAACATGGTACTTCTCATCTTTCACAGAACTTGTACATATAGTTGACAGAGGACTCGGAGCGAGCTTTACGAAATGGTAACCCGAAGATTGGCAAAAGTTTTTGTGGAGGCACTGTATATGGTATGAACATCGAATTCTCAAATATTCGATGCTCAGCGAATTTTCGCGTGTTCAATCTTCATCTAATTTTATATGAAGAATATCGTAAGTAGACATTTATGCTTAGAGCTCTTTCTCTACTGCACCACTAAAGCGCTCAGACAAATTCTTGCTCAGTATACTTTGGGCCGAATCGAATGATTATT